TTTCCTTTAGCACACATCATGAACTCCCGATACAATTTATCAAGTACTAAATATGTAATTGATCAGATTTCAAAAGTTTTAACTTTTAGTACTCCTATCATTTATAGAAATTTAGAACAAATTTCATGTGAAATGTATGAATTGTATGCCGAACGAATGTGTACAAATGTTAGTCGGGTACCTCTGCACTTATTCTGCTGCTAATATTAAAAAAAATAACGCTGAAATATTAAATTTATTTGAAGGCATTAATACGTATAGATATCATGCATTAGGTTCTTCTAGTAGTAGTATGTGTACCATATGTAATTAGACATTTGACTCAAGTCCAGTTGTATGCCTGCTGAATTACTTGATTACTTTAATCATAATATGCCCAATAATAAATCAATTAAAAAAGTTCTGAAAAAGTAATTGAATTCTAGCGTACAAACGATGATGGCCAGTGATTTCTATGATTGCAAAAGATCTACTAACACCTCTGATTAGCACTGTAGTTTCGGACTCTACTTTTAGCGCATGTAAGAAAGTTTTGTCCGAGGTAAAGAGCCGATTGAAAGAAGATATTATGGAAGCATTAATGTGAGTGAAGGATGTGAAGACGCTCATTTTCAACTGGAAGATAAATATATCAAAATTAAATGTCTTCAGGTAAGTGATATTTAATTTAACAATATTTATAAAATTTGTTAATTTATAATACTATTTTTAATTTTTTAAAAGATCATACAAGTAACAAGTTGTTCGTATACAATTTTTAATTTCGTCTTCTCGAAATTTAAGTAGTCGGTCTCACACTCGGATAAAGGAGGANAAAAAAAAAAAAAAAAAAAAGAAGAGATATAATTTTTCTATTCTTCAAAAGCTATGTTCAAGGGGAAAGAAAAATGCTAATTTCAAATTGACATAATTCTTAATTTAGATCATAATTTTCACTTATTTCAAGAAAATAAAATAGAAAAATTATTTCTTTATTCCGATTGAGATCGTAAATCCAAATCAAGAAAATTAAAAATTATATTTGAAATAGGCTATGAAATTTTATACTTCAAACTTTTCAATTTTTGAACAATTAGATTCAATAAGTAAAGTTCAACGATCACTCACAAATAGTTTAAAGTTTAGTAAGCAAAGCATTATGGAAGTATAAGTTTAGTGAGTAAAGCGTGGTGTATGGTTAATGAAATATGATGAGTGAGTGATAAAGTGCAATGTGTTAAAGTTCGGTGACCAATTGGAAGCATTTTAAAGTTCAGTGAGTAAATCGTAATTGAGGTACAAGTTCGGTGACTAATGAAGCATTTAACTCCTTTGTTTGTCAAGCGTTGAATGTTATTAAAAAGTTACTTTTCTATTTAATCAAAATCAAATATTAATTTCAACTACACATTTATAACTTCGACCCATTTATTAAAGACGCATATAGTGGGATCCAATAACATTTCTTTTAAAATGTTAATACTAATTGTATCCAAACGCTCTTTTTGATCCCCAATTTTATAGAATGTCAAATTTGATCTGCAAAACTTATGAAATCATTCAATCAACTATTTCAAGCTTCCAATCAAGTCTTCAACTTTCGGTAGTTATGCAAATCCACCATTCTTGCTCCAATTAAGCTCCAGATCTCTTCCTTTTCGTTCACTTCATCTACAAGTCGAGTTTTTACCTAGAAAAATAATATATACACAGATATGAGTCGAACTTCGTCCAAATAATGTTGTTCTTGATTGTTATAACACTAAAAAAATTGAATTATCATTTATTATTCAAGCATTTTTTTAAGAAAATGTATGACAATATAAAGAACATAAAAGATTATGTATAAAGATCACTAATTACTATAATTGAATTATATTTCAACTAAGTTGAGACTCACTTAACTTTATATAAGTCAACTATTAGCACAACTCCTAGAAATATCCAATGGCCATGCTGTCCATTACATCTTGAAATTTAAACCTACATATTGTCAATCTTCAAACTCATGACAGAAATTACAATGTAAATATGTAATTTCCTTCGGTCTTAAGCTATGGTTGCTCGATTGTCAGCTAACTGAAGTGAAAGCCGATCTTGATGCTATGGTTGATACCAAAAGTATTAGAAGGTCAAGGGCCTTAGACGAGTATTGAAAATAAACTATTATTGTTATTTTTGCAATAAATGTAATTGAAAATTCGATAAAAGTTATGGATCTTATGAAACGCGTAGTTAAAATTAATTACTGATTTTTGCTTAAATTTTTATCAACGTTTTTAGCTAAACCAAACAGAGAATAAATAACAATTAATTCCCCGCTAACCTTTCTAAAATATGGGTTTCACTTTCATATTAGGACACCACCAAACAAAAGCATCTTGTCAAAATTTTGTGATACAAGGTCTAAAATCTACTTATAAGCCATTTGAATCTTTAAAGGTGGGTGCAAATTAAAGTATTGTTGAGAAGTGAGAGAACCCCACACACCTTACCATTTTCAAAAGTATTTTGTAACATCAAAAAGGGGAAACTAAAATGAGACATAACTTCAAAGTAGTTTATTTGGTGCCTTTTCTTTACATCTTTCCAAGTGGCCTTGTCCTCAAGATCTATGGCACTTTCAAGTATTATACCCCACCATCAATTGCAAATTAAAATTTCAATTTTAAGGACATAAGTAATTATGTAGTTAAACAAACAGTTCCTTGCCTACTTGGTCAAAGAACCACTTCATTTTTTGTTTGTCGATTGACAAATATGCGTAGTTATGATACAAACGGTTATAATTACATGATTTTTTAGAAATATTTTAGCATAACAATTATTGGATTTGGACACATAACCTTTTTTCAAATCATACACGAAGTCTTGATGAGAAATACTCGAGCAATATCCATAAGCTCTAGTAATTTAGAGTAACTTCTATCCTTTCAAGGGTCATGAAGCCATTTTATACATTATCGGGAAGTTATGCTTTCATATTTTTAGTACTAGGATTTTCTCATGAAGTATAAATAAATAAAAAATGAGTGGTGAATAAGTAGATAATACTTGCGGATCTCGTGAAATGTGTAAATAAAAAATGATTTGATTGATTATAAACAGTTTATAAATATTACCTAAACGTAGGCTAAGTGTTCTCACTATCTTGTACAAACTCTCTGTATCGTATACAAATCAACAAAAATTTTGTCGACATTTACGAGTAAATTGAAAAAAAAAATGTTAAAAGAGATTTTTTTACTCATTTTGTACAAGCATAGGGCAATATTTTAATTCAATTGAATTTTAAGTGGTCAACAAATTGCTAATGCATGCTTGTAATCAAATAAGTGTGCGAATTTGTCTTGCTTCTGTTTGCAGCATAATCCTTTAACCAGTCTAACATCAAATCTTTGTGTTATTTATTTATTATTTACTTGAGACCAATTTCCCTCCAAAAAATTACAACTCTTTTTTTGGAAATATAGAAATTAATAAAAACAAGAATCATAGGCATATTTATCCTCATGCTATATTTAAATAATAGCATCCACTGATGCCAATTCTTTATGGGGTACTTTTTTAAGCATTGATAATATGAAGCCTATGTCTGTTTTGCATTTGTTTTTTTGGGAATTATCTACTTGTACAGAATTATTTCTTCTGTAAAAATGACAGAATAATCACATGGGAGTGGGCCCCATGTGAGTAAAATATTATTATAAAAAAATGGAGTCCACCCCATGTGTGTATTCTGTCATTTGCATGTACCTGCAGCATCTCTCTCTGTTTATTTATTTATTTATTTTTTTGTCAAGAAGTGAATTTTTCCTATCAATGACGTGGAGTCGGTTTGATTTTTATAATATATTGTAACGGGCTCATTATGCAGACGAATAACGAAAACTTTCCATGAATTTGTGGCTTTTTTTTTGGCTGTTAAGTCGAATTTTCGCTTGACTGAAATTCAATCGTGGAAAAGACTCCTACACAATTACGCTTCATAGGCCTTGTTTTTATAAACCTCAAATTTTATTTGTAAACTCAGTATCACGACTACCAAATTTTGCTGAAGTCTGCAAATAGGTAGACCAATTATACATTGAAGTGAACTCTGCTTTTTAATGTAATCTAGAATTCATATTTATGTCATGTTTGAGTCACATTATTTTTTTCATTCTCATTCTTCTACTCATTTTTAACCACACATTTTTCAATAAAATAATATTTTTCATCACATCAATAACTTTTTCTTCTTTTTCAACCACTTATTTCACATCACATCAACAGTAAAAATACATTCTTTTTCCAAAAATGTGCGCCAAACGAGGGCTTAATAACAAATTTACAAATCACGTGACATATAAAGGTGTGTAACATTTCAATTACCGTAAAATTGAATATATATAATGCTATGGCTAACAACCTTTACTTAGACAAAAACTACCAAAAAAGGGGGAAATGTTTTCGTTGGTTGTCCTTTACTCCTTTCGTGCTCAATCACAAAAGGGGGAAAATATTTGCTAGTTGGTTGTTGTTTTCGTGCTCAATGACAACGTAAACCAAAGACATTTGGATAAAATTGTTGAACGTTGAGAGTTGGACGTACAATATATTTTACTAATGTTATTTCTTCTCACCATATTTGATTCATTTATGCTAAATAAAAAGAACGAGCACGATTATGCATCATAACACTGAAACCCTTTATCCATGGCCATCGAGTAGTACCTCTAGATTAAAGGAGCACAAAAAGAAAATAATAGAATCAAAGCGCTTCGAAATGCAACATTAAACCAAGGCAAAATCAAAATGAAAAGGCCAAGCGATGGAAAAAATAGACATCAACTATGTCTCAAGAAAATGTAATTTAGAAAGATAGGTACCTAACAAAATTTATCAATTATTTTATTTAGTATTATCTAATTCATGTAACATACATGTGAAACCAATTAAGAAGAAGCCAAATTTTTTGAGAAATGAATTAAAATTGAAATAGTAAAGTTTTTTTTTTTTTTTTTTGTAATTACTCCAATTTAATTTTCATAATGTGACTCAGGTATGGCACCAAGCACAGGCCTCCAAGCTCTCCTCAGCAGCCGTTGCCGGAACGTCGCCGATAACGGCCGAGTGCCACCTCTCCTCGCATCCACACTCGACGACGAAGACATCCCTTCTCGCACATTCCCAGATATCCGCTCTTGGAACGGCGGCGGTGAGGATACAAACAGGTCTCTGAGCTTGTGGCTGACCACCGTATCCTTCCCCTTCTCTGGCGTTTCATCGCTATCGTCACTTCTCCTCCCATCAGATGAGTCATCCCCAGGTCGAGGCGGCAGCCTTCTCCCTTCTCCACCTCCGTTGCGGCCAAGAAGCATTCGGAGAGTTTTTCTCCGGCGGAGATGGATTACTGGGCTGGCGGTTGGGCTCTTTGTTGGGCTTCCAGCCACTGCGCACTGGGTTGCTAATAGCTTGAATTTCTGTAGAGTCGCCATTTCTTTTGTTAATTGAGGAGTCTCTCAGAATTACTCTTTGCTTTTGATTAAGAAAATGGATAATCGAATCTTAAGGGGTGAATGTGAGGTGAAGGAGAAAGTGAGATCTGGGCATGTTTTGGTGAGGAGTGGCCAAAAGATTATTCTTTCTTTCTTTCTTCTTTACCTTTTTACCTTTGTACTATGAGTTATAAAGCGACTGAGAAATGAAGAAAACAGTTGGTAGGGTGGGTCGGGGGTGAGGGGAATACAAAATAAATAAATAAGTTTAAAGAAAAAACTTATTTTTAAAAAGAAGCACTTTTCTCTAGTCTCAATCGACTATCATTTCACAACCCAAGCTTGGGAGATGATAGACGCGTGGAAAAGGACGGAGGAGAAAATGGATTAAGAGAATGAGGCAAAATCATAATATGAGGCAAGAATGGGGAGCAAAACTAAAAGTAGGGGTGAGGGTGAGGGGATAAGGTGGCGGCAAAATTACGACGACGGGAATTAATAGAAAGACTAGTGGTTTGGTAAGGATGCGAGGAAAGCAACTAGCAATGAATAGGAGTCGAGGGAGAAATTAAGGAATTGTCATTCGATCACTAGTGCCACTAGACGGTAGGTGAAAGACCAATGGTTTGGCCTTTGCGAAGGATGTGAGGAAAGCAACTAGCAATGAATAGAAGTTGAGGAAGAAACTAAGGAATTGTCATTCGATCACTAGTGATACTAGACGTTAGGTGAAAGATAAATAACATAAAAGACGATTATCGTGACGAAGCTACAGTAATATTTAAATGCACTATATGCAACTTTTCAATGTTCAAATGAACATACATGAATGATTTACATATGTGGAATAAAGTGGAAGGAATACCACATTATACATAGATGTTGACATTGAAATTTTATTTTATCATTTAGCCTCTGTTTGGTGTGGATTAAAATCTTGATAAAAATTTAAATCAATAATTAATTTTAACCATATATTTTATCAATTTTTATAAAAATCTACTAAAATTTTGATTTTTAGCTGCACCATACCTGGCCTTATTCTAGTCTTTTCTTTAGTAAAATTTCACATTTCTTGAAACTGAAATCATGAGATGCAATTCAGACCAAAAGAAAAGATCGAATGAAAATACGCATGAATATTTCAAATTATTTTTTAATGTGCAAATGATGATCAAGCATGATGTTGGGGACCCTATTCAATTACTAAAACTTTAAAAATTTGAAAAAAAAATTATGTCACTATTTTTTTAATTTTTTAATTTTTTTTTTAGTCTAATAATAATAGACCTTGTAAGCAAATATTGGATCTCCAATATTGACATTTTCCCATTCCCAAAAGAAATGGTGCTAACTTCTAGGGTTGTGTTAAAGGTATGGTAGGCTCGTGGATCGTGCGCGTTTACGGGAAGAATTTTGACCCATTTTTTTAGCTTATAATTGCAATTCAAATTAATTTTGGGGCAGTATTATGGGAGTTATGAGTAAGAATTTGAGAAAATAAGCATTGTTAGTTCTCAACTTGTTTTTTTTACAAGAAATTAATTTATGGCCATCCCATGTTAGTTCTCCGGGACAGTGTTTGTAGTTGGTTTAAAAAAATATTGAAGGATAGGATGGCGATCTACTTTTCCTATAACTTCAAATACAAGGATAAAGGTTATAAAGTGATTTAAATATACCAATATTATACGTTGAATTATATATTAACGGATTTTTACTTTAAGGAATATGTTATTTTTTTACCTAAATTTCGTTGGATGTTCGTGGATTGATTGAAAGATGCGTTAAAGGGATATGAGAAGTTTTGAGGCAGCAATTGGGCTCTGGGCACCCAATTCAGTGCCTAGACGCTATAGAAGGTGTTTGGAATCAAATTGGACCTGAAACAAGATGCTTGAGCTTTGCCGCCGGCTTACCATTCAACTATCGCTCGAGTGCGCGCAACGCTCATCGGCGCAAGGCTGCCTCTCGAGCAAGCGTATGTAAGGATTTTAATCGAACATGTGGGCTTATATGTGAAATATTGTGTATTAAATTAAATGCCATCAATTTTGGTTAAGACTGTTTAAAATGATCTAATAAGGTTTCGGTATTTTGAGTTTTGAAGTATCAAATTAAAGTGTGAGTTTATATGTGTAAAGATCAAGCATATTCCTAATTTCATGATGAACCGAATTAGGTTAACGAGTCGTTTGTGTATATATATACGGTTATGATCCTCGGATCACAAGTAATTGTTCATTCTATTCTGACTCACATCATCAGAGAGAAACTAAGGAACAACATGTTGATCTGGAATACTAAAAATCGCATGACTTATTCATCGCGATAACCATGTCTAATTCAGGTACGCTTCCGGTTCAATTTACAAATTCTTGATGATCCAACATGAACGATCATTATGACAGAAAGTTTTTCCCCAACATATACATATCATGGGAAAATTCGTTTCCTTATTTTTTGACACGGTTTTTGATCATTTTTCCATGTAAAATATATTTTTTTGGATCCCATATATACTCCACAAAATTCTTGACTTAATATGACTTTGTATGATTTTAAAGAGTTGAACAATATTGTAAATACAATACTTTTCTATCTTTCTCCATATTAATACATTTTCCATTCCACTGCCAATTTTTTTTTATGTTCATTTAGTGTTGTGATTGATACTTCATATTGTGCCATATAATCTCGTTTTTTATTTTTTAATAAGTGGTATCAGAGTATATATGTTTCTTGCTAGGTTGCTGGCAAGTGGTGTCAGAGTTTAAGGTTTGATTTATTCAAGATTTTGTTCTTGTGATGATAATAATGAAGTATGATATTTCACTCTTGGATAACAACACTAGATTTTCTTTGCGGTATGTGAAGATGGGAGCAGTGCTCACTCAGATGGATTTGGATGACATTTTATTGAGATTTTTATAAGATGCCCTCAAATTGATTAATAAAAGAGAAACAACATAAGGATAGAAAGGCCACATCACAAATTCGTCTTCATTTTTTGAATCATATTCTTCAGTACGTTTTGAAGGAGAAAATCGCAGCTGCGTTATGGTCGAAATTGGAGCTATTATGCACGACTAAGAGTTTAACTAGCAAATTGCACTTGAATCAACGTTTGTATTCTTACCTTATGATGAAGTTACATCTCTAGAAAACCACCTTGCCGCCTTTAAAGAAATTGTCGCTAATTTGGAAACATTTTGATGAAGAGGATTTGAGTTTGATTTTATTGCGTTCGTTGCCCGCTTCATAAATGTTGTTTAGAGACATGATATTATATAGTCGTGATACTTTTACAGTTGAAAAAGTATGTGATACTTTGTTTTCAAAGGAAATGATGAAACATCTCGTTGGATCTGAGGCTCAAGAAGAAGGCTTTATTATTCATGGTGGTTACGAGATGGGTAGTTCAAAGTCTAACTTTAATAATAAAATTTATAACTATTGCAAGAAGAAGTAACACATAAAGAATGATTGTTATAAATTGCCAAAAAGAGAAAATTGGCTATAAATTAGAAGGGAAAGCAACCAGAAACTTCAAGTGAAGTCGACATTGTAGAAAATTGCTATAGTGATGGAGAACTTTTGGTTATTTCTGACTACGACTCCAAATTCGATGAGGAATGGATTCTTGATACAACTTGCACTTTTCATACGAGTTCCAATTTGAATTCGTTTTCAACATATGAAGAAGTTTTGAAAGGTATCGTGGTTATAAGAAACAACGCACCCTGTAAAGTAGTTGGTATTGAAAAGTTCAGACTTAAGATGTTGGATGGGAAGTTAGAACACTTCATAAGGTGAGACACACGTTTTAGATTTGAAAAGAAATCTTATCTTCTTGCATACTCTTGATTCAAAAGGGCCGTTAGGATGACTATCAATTGGGCACCCAGTATAAAAAAAAATTTATTTTTATTTTTTCCAATCACAACACCCGATTCACGTATAACTTGTTTCCTTTGAAAATCATTTCTTTGAATGTTTCCAAATGGAAAATTAATCAACACGAACATGCCATGTGTTTAAATTCAATTTCATACACACATAAGTTAGAGAAGATCATCAAATTCGACTTCATTTATTTTTAGATAAACATTATTAATTAGCATCAAAGCAGTCCTCGATCTGGTAAAACATTTAACAATACCTAGCATTTAAAGAAAACCAACTAGAATTCAAGATTCAAACAGTTTTTTCTTCAAGAACTCCTCAATCATGTCTTCCTCTGACGATAGCTTGTCCACGTCGCTTCTCAGGCCATCACAATCCATGGTGTATCACATTTCAGATTGCAGCTGTTTCCATCTGACAACTCCTCCATCATATCGCAAAACATCCCAGTTCCATAGCCATTTCTGGAGTTAAACACCATTGGTTGATTAATGTACGGGTAAGCATCGGCATTGCCATCACGAATATAAGTTCTGGAATTTGAGTTAGAGAACCTGTTGTTCATGACCTTTTTCTTTGCATTCTCATTTGAATCTGGTTTTTCAGTGTGGTTCGAGTCGACGTGATTCCAGGGTTTCCAGGAATGCATCAAGGGAGATGATTGAGCTTCTGTAGCATTTTTGTAAAGCAACTTAACTGGGATGAAGTGTTGGAGTTTCTGTCTATCCATCAATTTATTTTGCCATGGAATTCATTGAGAAGAGAATATGGGGTTTATATAGGAGATGTGTTTGTGTAAGTGAACATAGGGTATCCAAAAATAATGAAGTATGGGATTTCATTTAAGGTTTAAAATTCAAAAAAACAAAGTCTCCTGAGGTGCACAATGAAAGAAGATTTCTTGTTTTGGGGCTCTAAAGAAAAAGGATTAACCTTTTCTACCAGGCCTGATAGAGCAAAAGCTCTCACATGAGGACCCACCTCATTAAACCCCCACCCCCACCCCAAATGTTAATGACCCATTTTTTTAGCTTATAATTGAAATTCAAATTAATTTTGGGGCATTGTTAGTTCTCAACTTGTTTTTTTTACAA